CAGTTACTGCATTAAGTTACAGACTTAAAAAAAAAATGACTCCCTGAAAAAAAAAGTCCATTAGCATTCATTACCTATCCTACCGAAGGCTCATCCAGAGTACAGGTAAGTCCATCTTTATTAAGGAAACCATTATGGGCAGAACTCACAGGGAGTCAGATGCTGAGACAAGCAACAGTTCAGGAGACATACCCAGCTCTGAATGGGCTGGTGTAGAAGGGCAGCTTGCCCCTCCCACTCATGCGTCCTTTACCATCTACTAACCAAACCGTGGCATATTTTGTACAGATGTGAGCAGCAACTCTCTTTTAGCAGAGGGCACTCATCTCTACATTCTCTTGCTTAAAAATCTTTTCCAAAAAAAACACAACAAATCCTTCCTCCCAGGCAGGAGCACCAAAACCTCCAGAACAGGGCATGCCGGACTTCCCCAAGTGTGAGGCTTCACCACCATATGGCCTTAATTTTGCATACACGGTTTTGATGAAAGCCACTTAAAGACTAGTGAAGACATTTACAACTTCCTTTCATATGTAAAATAGACTTAGGGGTTGACAAACATTAAAATAAAGTCCAGGCTTTAAAATGAAACCCCCATCACTAACAGTTTCCGGAGTCCTCTAAGAAAACATCAGCGTATGGCGATGCCTGGCAAATGCAAGCTTCTCCCACGTTCCATTTCCAGGTCCAGCCTGTGAGCTGTTGTTCCCAGAAGCCAGGTCTTCAAAGACACTTTTGCTCACTCAGCTTTAGAAGGCAGAGTGGCAGGAGGAGACGGGGCCGAGTTCTGCATGGTTCCCACACTGACCTCCCCCTACATCCATACAGATCATGTTTTTCTCTTCTCTATGTTCTGATTCGGTACTTTTGACTTTTGTTCAAATCCACTCCTGTTAGCAAACTTTAAATGTATTAAATATCAGACAGTCAAGAAAGTAGGCAACATAGTACCCTTATAAAACTACAATATAATAATACCATTATAGACAATCATACCCACACAACGTAGGGTCCCCCCCCCTCAAAATGGTGAAGTATGAACAAATAAGGAACTCTTCCAAAGACAACTTAATTCAAATTCCTATTCCTATGTGCTCTATTTGTCATTAGAGTGAGTTTTGAAAAGGCAACTCTCTATTTGGTGTGGGGAACTGCTCCCTTTTCTTACGAACATAAAAACAAGAGAAGAATTTAGAGAGAATAAGTTGTTTCTAATGAAAAGAAAAAGGGCCCAGTAGCATTAGTAAATGTGAAGTGGTCATATCACAGTTTCACAGGCTGCTAAAAATGTTTGCTAGGCCAAAGGATTCTATATCGTTTTCTTTTTTAAGAACAAAGAAGCGGGCTTTGAATAATAAATAAGCACAATTAAATAATTCTGAAGTGAACTCAGGCCGGGCCAAACTCAACTCAGATTAGTCACAGCCAAAGATAAAAGGCGAACTCTATAAGCATCCCTTTACTATCCCTAAGCTTACTTTAAGAATACAGTATAGAACAAATAACATACAAAATATGTGTTGGTTGACTGTTTCTATTATTGGTTAAGTCTTCCCGTCAAACAGTAGGCTAGCAGTAGCTAAGTTTTGGGGGAGTCAAAAGCTGTATGCAGATTTTCAACTAGAGGGCACCCCTAACCCCACATCATTCAAGGGTCAACTGTATTTATCTTAAGCTGTCTCCCTCTTGTACCTACCCTCAATGCCACTGTGGAACTTCAATTTACACTCACAGAAACTCCCTCACAAGCCTGCGCAGGGTTAACATGTGAGTTATTCTCTTCTTGGAATTAATATATGCAAAGCCCTATTTTTATGTAACCTATTGTCTTTGCCAGTGAAGTATGTTTAAAGAGAAAACTCTACTGGATGGGAACAGCTATTCTCTCACATTGTAAGGAAGACATACCTTGTTAGAATAATGAGGAGAAAAGAGACGGGGTCCATCAGAGCACCGTGAGGGGTCAGATCACAATCCCTCAGGCTGGATGGCCTGGGAGGAAAGTTTTCCAGCTTCCTATTCCTGACCTCTGAATCTGCTATGGTCACTCTACTGTCAATGTAAGGCACTATGGTTACTTGGTTTCTTGCTACCACCAAGAAAAGTCTAAAAGAATGTGCCATCGTGCATTGTTTTTCTTTTCCTTTTATACCTATTGAGTGGTTGGGATGTTCTACAAAATAGCTAAAGAGTATGTCTTTATTTTCACGTGTTATGCCAGCAAACTATTAAATCTAATAACGTGACCAATGTTTTGTTTTTGTTTTTTGTTTTTTTAATTATCAGGAAATAGGAAATAAGTAGGGACCTTTTCAATTTCCCCAATTGTTCTCCCACTAAAAGCGGAAGGCTGGAATGCAAAGAACCAAACTGAAATAAAAGAAAAATTTAAATAATATCTTACTTACCCATGAGTGCACAATTGTCTATATAAGGGGAAAAATCCAAAGCAAAAATAGAATACTTGGGAAAACTATTCAAATGTTTTAATTTGTAAAGCACATAATTCACCCAGAGATCATTATGAATTAACATTATGTTTATGGGTGGGTTTTTAGAAAGAATATATCGATTTTTTTTTTAAATTTTAAAGGGAAAGAAAAAACCATGCTTGCTCAATTCAATGTTTATATTCCAAAACAATGCTGCTCAAAAATAAAAATTAAAAGAATGATGGATTTAATGAGATACAAAATTAAATATAAAATACAAGGTTCTGTGGATTTTTTTTGGTGTTTCTGAATTTTTGTTTTATTAATAGATATCCTTTAAGTGGAGAGATAGCAGTTAGAAAGGAAGTATACGCTTAGAAGACCAAGAGTCATGTCACCAGCAGGTCTGGAAAACTGCCCAATTGTGGCCTTCCCCTTCTGTTATCTGAGCAGACCCGAGTATGGATGCAAAAGAGAAGAATCTCCCATCTGACCTAACAGATAGACCATCTCAGCAACATCAGATCACTACTATTAAAAAAAGTGACTGAAGTGCCCAGGGGTGCAGGTTATTAAACTGAGCAACTCAGTTTAAAAGACAATGTATGGCTGCTATTACATGGAAGCCATACAAGTGCTTGGCCTCACTAGGACCACACTAGATAGAATATAAGACCCCTGATAAAAACTGTCATGTTCAAGTTTATCAACCAGGAGTTATCCTTATTTAAGAGTGTTTTTTAAAATGCCATAAGACATACAGGAACTACACTGAAGGTACGCATTTCTGTAACATATAGGTACACTCAGAAGACAAAAAAGTGTATCTTGATAAACAACTTCCAAGACTGGGGTGAAAAACAGAGGGCACTTAATAACATGCACTGATCTTTTTTCCCTCTCCAGGACCAGAGCAGCAGCTACCTTCATAGAGCATTCCTGCATGCTGCTTGCTTCACCACTAAGGAGTTCCAGAAGATTCCAAAGATGCTATATTCTCAAAGACAATTTTTCAGTTGTGTTGCTCATAAAGAAAAAAAAACAAAAACCAAAAAAAAAACCTTGGGCTCTTCAAATGGCTAAAAAGTATGGAAATCTAAAAATCTTTCTTGGTTTTCACCTCTATTAAAGAAGAACGACGATGAAAATGGTCAAATAAATGCAATCAGGGAAGTGTCCTAATGTACTTGAACGACATTTTCAGAGATAATCATTCCCCCAATTTCTCTTACTGAAATTCAAGGAAGATCAGAAATAGTAAGCCACTTTGAAAGCAGTGCTCCAATTACTCAGCCCCTTAGCTCTGCACAAAGGTTTATGGAGGTGAGATGCTCAGATAACTTCACTGTCCTTTATGGGTTACAGTCTCTCTCAATAAGAGCTGACTCTTTAGGCAATTTTCTTCTGACAAAGCAGCAGATAAGAAAAATCCCAAGGTCTTTGTTTCAGCATCTGGCTGAGATCAAGGTTAAGTACAAAGTAACTAAACCAAAGAAATCGACACAACCCCAGAGCTTAACATATTATAGTACTTTTAGCCTACAGAAAATGTCTCTCTTTATCTGAATTAAGCTGTTATTTTTCTTAATAAGAGAACATCCTTTTATAATTGTGTAAAATGTTTAAGAAATGTCCACTTAACTATTCGGATAACCTAGGATAGAACTGGTTTCTAACCAGGAGTAGCTACGAGCAATCTAGCAATCAATCTAAGACCAACCGTAACACATACATCAGTAAATGTCAGTCAAGGAGTAGAATATCCAGCCATCTCTCAATTATTCATGATAAGCTTGGCATTCCAAATTATACACCAGTGCATCAGAGTTTGCAAGACTCTTGCTTAGAATATGGGTTAAAGTATAAATTCTCATCAAATTTTAAGAAATAGAGAATATTTTTAATGCAATTACTATGGAATGGAAACATAAGTATGTAACAGAAAAACTTATTAATTTAAGTAGCCAGAAAAATATCTGAAATAGGCATGGTAACTCATGCCTGTAATCCCAGCTTCTCAGGAGGCTAAGGCAGGAGAATCACTTGAGACCACGAGTTTGAGACCAGCCTGGGCAACACAGCAAGACCTCATATCTACAAAAATAAAACGTAAATTATCCAGGCACGGTGGTATGTGCCTGTGGTCCTGGCTACTTGGGACACTAACTGAGGCAGGAGGATCTCTTAAGCCCAGCAGTTCAAGGCTGCAGTGAGCTATGATCAGATCCGCCACTGTACTCCAGCCTAGGTGACAGAGTGAGATCCTGTCTCTGAAAGAATACATAAAAAAGAAAAAGGAAAGAAAAATATCTCAACTGTTTTATCTGTAAAGATGACAACTCTGAATCCAGAAATCAATGACTAAAGCCGTGCAAGTGTTTCCCATCTTCTCCTTTTTCCCCTCTGCCGCTCACCAGTAAAACAACAAAAGGGAGAAAGATAGTGGAAGGAAATACAGGACTCACGTTGATAAATCAAAATTCTGCTATTAGTAGATCTTCTAAGAACAATAGTTTGACTGACACTCCCTTTCCCCAACATGCCTCTGTGACTAATCCACCAACTCACCTGATTCCATTTCAAAGTGAGTAGCAAATCTTGCTTTTCAGTCCAACTCGAGGTAATCTCTCAAAACCTAGATTAAAAGAATGATGAACTTTAGTATAACAGTTATTTTCAAATTTCGAAAAACACACAACTGTACCTCATAGTTAGTAAAAGGGGGAAAAATCACCACTACTAATCAAAACATAATTGTGGAATATTATACTTTGCCTCTAAAACCCTTTTAAATTTGTAATCTCTTTATATTCAGCTAGACACACACAACCAATAGTCATTAACTGTATGTGTAAAAAAGCCCCCCCAAAAAGTGACTTTGATATGGCCAGTCCATCACTTGCCCATGGGAACCACTATTCCAAAGACGGGTTCTATCCAGGGGGCAATTGTGTACTGCAGGGGACATCTTACAACGTCTGGGGACATTTTTGGTTGTCACGAGTTGGGGGAGGAGTTGCTATTTGGCATTTAATCGGTAGAAGCCAGGGTTCCTGCTAAACATCCTACAATGTACAGATGTTTACATCTGTACACGTAAGAACAGCCCCCACAACAAAGAATTATCTTGCCCAAAATAAAAATAGTGGTGAAGCTAGAAAATCTTGCTCCAAAAGCAACCAAACATTCTGATTATTTAAAAATCCTCCAATTCTCACATTGCTCATTTCAGATAGACAGTAAGCTCCTACCACAGTCATAAAATATTTTCTATAAATGCTAAGCTTCTTATTGGTTAAAGACTACACATACATGTCCAATAGTGGTAATTTGCACCATATGTACAGATTTCTAAAAACACTAAAATAATTCAGATTATACTGTCCATAAGAGCACCCAGGAAACAAATGTTTTAAAGTTTGCTGAGGCTAAATGCTATTTCAAACTATGTTAAACCCCGTTCCCAATCATATAAAATGGAAGCTAAGAGGAGTAAAAATAACCAGAATTTAGAGTCACTCACAGATATTCCCAATTCCTGGTAAGGACAAGAAGGGAAGTTCTTCTTCCCAGCCTGTCACTAGGACATTAGGATTCCCATCTCTTATTCAGTCACACTTCAAAGCAAGACTTACCAAGGGCCTATCGTGTCCCTGCACTATGACCTCATGCCATACGGCAGGCAGAGCTTGGTAAGACCCTACTATAGGTCTTTCCTACCCTACCAAAACCAAGTGGTACAAACATCAGAAGAAAACTGTGGGGAAAAGAAACCCACAAAGGATATTCTCGGCCGGGCGCAGTGGCTCACGCCTGTAATCCTAGCACTTTGGGAGGCCGAGGCGGGCGGATTGCTCGAGGTCAGGAGTTCAAGACCAGCCTGAGCAAGAGCGAGACCCCGTCTCTACTATAAATAGAAAGAAATTAATTGGCCAACGAATATATATAGAAAAAACTAGCCAGGCATGGTGGCGCATGCCTGTAGTCCCAGCTACTCGGGAGGCTGAGGCAGGAGGATTGCTTGAGCCCAGGAGTTTGAGGTTGCTGTGAGCTAGGCTGATGCCACGGTACTCACTCTAGCCTGGGCAACAAAGCGAGACTCTGTCTCAAAAAAAAAAAAGGATATTCTCAAAGTCAGATATCTCGGATAATAAAACTTGCAGGGTTGACATGCCTGGCCTACAGATTGCACCCACAGAAGGGGGAAAGAAATCTGTAACACTCCAAATATATGCTTTGTTTTGTTAATCTTCATTAACGACCTATAACTAATTACACAAATAAGACTAATTACATAAGTAAGACATACCTGGCAGCTGATCTGCCCCAGTAATCCACTTAGGTACATGAATAAACATGCGTATTTAAAACTCACACAAAAGGGAATGATTTATGAACGCGCTTAGAAAGATTCCATCAGAATTACTCCATTCCAACTTGATGAGATTTCCATATGTGGCAAATGGGTTTATTCTAATTAAAGACTGACTTCTTCCTCGGAATCCTCGGTGCTACGCGGGAACTGCCAAAATCAGACTGGACCACAATAACCCCAGGCAGCAAGCAGGCCATGGGCAGTGGGTAGAGGGGCAGAGACTTTGGGCTCATGCTCCAAAGCACCAGAGGTTTGGCGATCCAGGTAGAGCCTGTGGCAGGAGCAGGGCCCCAGTCTGGAGCTCCCACCCACACCCTGGGACCTCTGGACCAGTCAACTCCTTAGAAAACTTTACTGAACACTGTACTTATCCAAAGCCAAAATGGAATAAACGGGGCTGGCACACGTTCTAGATTCAAGGCACCTGTGAAATCAGCAGAGAGCCCCCAACACCTCCACCACAGAAAGAAGTTAACTGGGGAAGACAGCCCCAGTCATGAGCCAGAAAAATATATGACCAGGTCAAAAACGACTTCCTGAAATCCATCAACGGCTAAGAGAATAAAGCAATGCTACAAAGAAAGGAAGACCCAGAAATTACTAGGAAGATTCAGAAGCAATAATAAAAAATATGAAATCGAACCCCTATCCCCATTTTTCTAGATTTAAATTGGTCTTTAAAGGAAAACTCATAACAAAATTTCAAAACATAAACATTTCATTTCTTTTCCTCTCTTAGCAGCAAAATATATTCTCTTCCAAAAAAGAAAGGTTGCTCAATTTCCTGTCAAAAGCAATCCGGAGAAGGCCACCTACACTGTAAAAGCAGCAAGAAAAAAAATAACAAAATGCTAAAGAAAAGTCTGATGTGTAGGCGTACACTAAGTGCAATGTAACTACCACTCTGGATGTTTCAAAGCTCTTTTCCTTGATCATTCTGAGAAATATGAAAATTGGTATAACTGCTAAAGAGAAGTTTGCCCTCCAACCTATCCACAGAAAACAAACCCACTGCAAGAAAGGTATGGGGCCAATTCTATGTCTTTAACCCACAGTTTTCTCTACCCAGGGGAAAGGGCAGACTCCACCAGACTGACAACTTACACGTTATGTTCTCATAGAAAGAAGACTGTTCGGACGATGAACCTCCTCCCTATGGCTACCCTACCCCCAACTCGACTCATGCAAATGGACCAGGACCAGCGTGGTCCTAATACAGGTTGAGTAGCCCTAATCTGAAAATCCGAAATGCTCCAAACTCTGAAACATTTTTAGTGCTGACATGATGCTCAAAGGAAATGTTCATTGGAGCATAGCAGATTTCAGATTTTAGGATTAGGGATACCAGTAAACATATGGCAAATATTTCAAAATCCAAAAAATTCCAAAAGCCTACACACTTATTGTTGGTTAAGAGCGTCAACCTGTGTGTTTAATACTAAACCTCTGTGGACTAACCATTCATAAACACGAATGTGAGCTGACTAGATTATGAATTAGCTACAGCGTCACATCCACCAGTCCATCAAATTCCCCTTACCCTGCTTATACTTTCTGAAAACTTTAAATCCCAAGATAGGCAATCAAATAGCCCAACACTTTATAAAGTAAACTGACACGTGCTCAGTATTGCGGTAGATGCAGTGTGATAAAAAAAGAAAAAAAAGAAAAAAATTCTTAAACAGCTCACCAGCAAATTGAGGAGAAAAAAATAGCATACCCAAAATAAGTTAAAATTAAATATAGTATTATCATTGAATACAATAAAGTGCCATATGTTTGTAAACCATACTTTGCATTAAAAAATGCAGTGGGTCACAAAGGCAAAACACAGGGGAAGGAAATAAATAATGAGCATGGAAAGAATGTATTAATGAGACGTTCATAAATATTTAAGAGCCAGCATGCGAAAAGACTAACCAAGATATAACAGGAAGCCACGCTGGCAGGGCAGTTGCAAGACAAGACAGCCCACAAAAGCAAACCCTTCAAAAATCTTATAAAAACGATTCATTTGATAAACTAATAAGTCTGAGCTACTAAGTTAACTAACAGGAGGATTTGTTTTGTTTTACTTAATAACCTCAGACCAACCTACAAAAAAGTTGCAAGAACAGTACAAATAACTTTTTTCCCCTGAACCATTTGAAAGTTGTCAACGTGATAGCCTACTATCCTGATTTTCGTGAGTAATTTCTATAAACAAAGGCATTCTCCTACAAAACTACAATAATTATGATCCAAATCTACAAATTAACACTGATGTTGTATTGTCACTTACTTCACATTACCCTAATAAAGTCCATTTTAGTAAAAGGGCCCCAATCCAGGATCTCACGCTATAGTTTTCTTGTTGTTATTGTTTTTGTTTTTATTTAAGACTACTCAAGCACAGTAGTGAGGAGGAGGAAAGAGCAGAACTGGGAGTTTGATCTGTAACTGACTGTGGACAACCAACTGAGATAAATATTTAACAACCAGCGTGCCAAAAAACTAATCAAGATATAACAGGAAGCCACACTGGCAGGGCAGTTGTAAGACAAGATAGCCCGGCACTTAGTTTACATGTGTCATTACTTTACTTCAATCTAGAAGAATTCATCAAACTTTCCTTGACTCTCACACTCTAGACAATTTTGAAGATTCCAGCCCAGTTTTGCAGAATGTTCCTTAACCTGGATTTGTCTGATGTTCCCTTTTGATTGGATTCAAGCTGTGAATTTGCAGTAGGAATATACCACAGAAGTGTTCCTTTCACTATATCCTATCAAGTGGCATATGAGTTCTAATTATTTCTCTGACCGGTAATGTTAACTTATATCACTTAATAAAGGTGGTATCTGCCAGATTTCCCCACAAGAAAGTTCCTCTTTTTCCCTTTGTAATTGATAAGCATTTAATGGGTGATAGTCTAAGACTATATAAATATCCTACTTCTCAACAAACTTTCACCCAGTACTTTTAGTGTCCATTGATAATTCTTGGCCAAATAAATTATTCTTTTATGGTTACCAAAAAGTGATTTTCTAGTCCAATAATAACCACCTATGATTTTACTGGAAAAATAGCATTTAGAAACCAAGATCTGGGTGTTAGCTGTGCTCACTGAACAGCTTATCACTGTTCCCGGGACCCCTAAATGAAAAGAACTACACATATAGATACACACACTCTTATTTTTATATTTCCTTCTTTTTCTATGTATGTATACTGAAAACCATGAATTTCATACAGATACCTTGAATTCCAATCCAACACCA